CGGAATGCAACTCAAAGTGTCAACATGGCACCATAAGGTCCTAGTTTGACCCCCTGGTTCTATAGTGTTTTTTGCTTCCAAGATCCCAGAACTGGCAGACACGCGCCTGGGGCATGACTGGATTTGGACAGCGGGAATTTTGTATAATTCATGCCTGGCCCCAGCAGAAGCTTTTTGCTTCCTGGGTTGAAAAGGGAGGCCACATCACATTGCAGAGGTGAGGGGCGAAACTTGCGGACGAGAGACCACCGCAACTGCATAGCCCGCATCTTCCCACCCGGGCACTCCCCCACCACCAGCGCCAGCTCACACCATGGCGACGCCGTTCCAAGTCGAGGCTTGGACCGAGTATGCCATCGGCTTGCTCGTGCTCCTGATACGCATAGTCTATCGGACGAGACTCGTTGGGACCAATTGGGAAGGAGATGATTATTTCGCGGCCATCGCGGTGTTGTTCTGGACGGTAAGGGTGTCCTCACCCAGCGCACGACCGCTTTGAAGATAGAGTTTGGAGCTGACCCTTGGGTTTCTAGGGCGAGTTGTTGATGCTTGAGATGATCGGTGAGGATTCCGTTGACAGCCCCCTTACTTCGCGAGATCGGATCAAAATCTAACTTTCTTTCTCTCCGCTTCAGGTCGATATGGTAGCATCACCGGAATGAGCGATGCGATTGCCCTGACGCTTTCGGACCAACAAAAACAGTCAATCGTCATTGGGAGCAAATGCCTTCTGGCAGGATGGGTTCTCTACGTTACCCTGATCTGGTGCTTGAAAGCGTGCATGCTTTTCCTCTACATGAGGCTCACGTACGACCCACCAACTGGTCATCCTCCCTGTGGAAGGTTAGCTGACGTTTTGGTTGATGGGAAATAGACTTAATTTGCAGCAGCAAAAGATGGTGAAGATAACTGCCGGAGCGTGTGTTCTATGCTACGTCGCCACAGTCCTTGTCATCATGACAAAGTGCATGCCAGTACACAGGAACTGGCAGATTTATCCATACCCTGGCGGTTCGTTTCTCTCCTCGCTCGGTTTTGATGGACCTCAAGTTGACTTGCGGATACAGATGCTTGTGCGCTGAACATTCCTAACTACATTGCACTGGCAATTACCAACGTCACGTATGTCTTTCCGAAGGACACCTCACAGCCCTATGACTTGTGGAAAATGTTCTGACACGGAGATAGAACCGACATGATGATTCTTTACATCCCAATACCATTGCTATGGTCTGTTCAGATGCCAACGGCCAAGTAAGTCAACTCCATGGCAAACTTAAGGTAGTTTGTGTAAGTTACTAATGATGGTCAGGAAAATTATTTGTTCTTTGTGGCTCTGCACAGGCGTCTTCATCATCATTGCCACGCTTCTCAGGTGTATCCTCTGCCTGCAGGATGCAAAGTCGATCAACCTAGGCACCATTTGGTCCATCAGAGAAACAGTAAGGCCCACGTTCCTCAATCCAATTTACCGTGCCCCCCCCCCCCCCCCTTCTCCCTTTCTGATCCGGCAAACTCTGATTCCGTTCGTTCACCCCCACTGACCCCGGCTTTTCCCCACCCCGACAGTTCGTCGCAATCCTAGCCGTCAACGCCCCGGTCCTGGGTCCCTGGATCGCCAAAAACGCTTCGGCCGTGCGATCCCGCACGTCAAAGAACCGCTCCAAGACGGGCGGCCAGGAGTCGGCTAATCACATTGTCACGATTGGCGCGAAGAGCAGCAGTCATCGTCTCGATAAACTGACCAAGGATGGTCGCTCGGCGATCATGGGGTGGACCGAGATTGATAACGACAGCGAGGAGCGCATCATGAAGAGCCTACACGACGTATCGGTTTCGGCTAAGCGTTCGGACGAGGAGATTCGCAGTAATACGGGCAACATTCATGTCAAGACTACGTTTGAGATCTCGAGGATGGCGTAGGGCTTGGTTCGGCGAGAGAAAACACCACGATATCCATGTTAGATAATGTACAGTAAACGATTAGCTTGTAATTAGTGTACAAGCCCGCCTCAAAGGCGTTGGAACTTTGGTTCGTAATGCGAAGAGGAACCTTGGCACGTCATAGCCATGAATGTTTCGGTGTTAGTGCGAGTCTGTGATCACATTTGCGTTTTCTGGCCCTCTTCTTTAGAGCGATTGTTATCGCGTCTTGGTTTAGACCAATACTCTGGCGCCAACGCTTTTGTTCTAGCTGTGCGACCGGAAAACTCCAGAATCCCACGAGTCGAGACATCCCAGGATCCGGCTTAGTGCCACTCGCTTTTGGTGCGCGGCCAAGTGATGGAACCACGTTTAACGGATGTCTCCCGTGCTATAGGTCAATACCGGCTTGCGGGGTACTCAGGTCCGCCCAGATAGGCAAACAACAGTTACAACACCCATGGAGCTGAACCGATGAAGGTTCTCGGATTTCTTGGTACTCGGTAGATGGACAGGAGGTTGAAGAAAGCGGGACTGCGGAGGTATCCACTCCGCAGGTCCGCAACACACCTGATTGGACGGAGCACAACAACACCTCGTCCTTGTATCCTGCAGGATAACATCGCGATCTCTTCCAAACCTTGGTCTTCGAATTCATGATGTGCTGTTCATGAGTAAGGATCCCGGCCACTTGATGTATCATATATGATAGTTACTAAGGCTGTGATAGTTGCTGCAGCCTGCTGGAGTCCTGCCAGGTCTCGTCTCCGTCCGCCAGGCTTCGTGAATCGTGTAGCGCCTGAGATGACGAGCATGTACCCTTCTCATTCAGGGGCACTAGACATGGAGTTTGGTTAAAAGCCGTCTTGGAGAACGAAACCCTCTTTCTTTATTGTTGTGGTCAGAAAACCTTCCATTTTCCAATGTCAAGTCGAGCTGTTCTCTTTCCCGTTCTTTGCTTAATTCGATTCGCGTTGCACAAGACATGAAATGAAGACTATTCCTGACCATTGTGCCCGGACGCAAGAATCAGAATTTGGACCCTTTGGTGCTGGGGTGCTCTCGCCATGATTGCGGAACAGCATTACCCGGCCCTTCGGCAGATTGGCGCAACCTGGCGTAACAACATTGAACTAAGCCCGGAGCTCCACTCACCAGATCTTGGAAGACCCCAAATCACCCTCTATCAATAAGCAACCACATATGCTATGATTGCAAAGATGTCTTTGACAGATTCATTGGCCGAGCGAAATGACCCTTCCCTTCGACATTCGGTACAGTTCGCCCAGAGTCTCAGAAACAGCAACACCTCGGTTTTCAGCCGTGATCAATGATTAACACATGACGCATACCCAACGTGGCAACAGTTAGGATAGAGGCAATCAAAAGGCGCTGCTGGTCGGGCAGCGGCCCTTTCACCCCCTACTTCCACTTCAAAGGGACTCATGGGCTTCCTCCTTCCACATACGCATTATGCGATTCAAAGCCAGGTCATTGAGCTTCGTGCCGCCCGGAAGGCCTTACCCCGCTGACATGTGAATCAACAATAACTGTCCAGGGCAAAACGTAAGGCCTGGAAACTGGCGCTTCAAAGACCGCGAGCCGAGTCCAAACCGCACTACAAACTAGCGAGATTCAATATCAGATAGCAAGAAGCAGGTGGCTGGATCTACACAGACACTGCCGTTGACTCACGACCGAAGAATATAGTCCTTTCTAGACCGAGCCACTGGGGATGTCGAGAGGTTGCGGCTCCTAAGAGGCTACCGCCTGCAGGCTACCGTTACATTAACTGCCACACCACCGACTGCCACGATACTCCGTCCGTGGTAGCTTCATATAATATTTTAATTGGAGCGATTCTCGACAAATTCAGGTTCCGACAAGGCACCTTCTTTGACCAACAGGTAGCTTATGTATCATTGATCGTGAGTGTCCTTACTTACATGAGTTCTTTACGAATTTTGTCTTCCAACATGCCTGGTTAGTCGGCCGAAGCGCCGCCCTACTACCATAAGGACAATTAGGGAGGCCTATCAATCTCACAATTATACCTCTAGCCAGTATACATGTCGAGAGCAGATATGTAGCATTTTATTCCTTCGCCGTGTGAAGGGCTAGTCTGCATATTCGAGCAATAGTGGCCACCAGCAAGCCTACCTTATCCAACTAGTGTAGGTCATCAAAGTCCAATCTTCACCGAAGGTTGACATATGTACACCTGTCGTGATTTAGTAAATATGTAACTTTAGGCCGCTCACTCATGGCTTAGGTACAATGACCACACACACATAAGTCCATTCGGCAAAGTTGAGTCCACCACTCCAACTCGCAACAAAAGATTGATATTAGCATCTCAATGCAATACCTCTCACACGACTTTCGCCGCCTGGGCTACTACACAAGACACAGCGTGAACCGTGAAGGGGAAGGACTGTAACGTCGCACGCAGGCACCCTAGCCCTTAGAAGCAGTAAGGCAGGTTCATCGAGTCAGTGAGGAACGCCAACCGAGAGAGAACACCAGCGGACGAGAAGACCCTTCCATTAGGCATTCTTGATTGTATGAACATGAGGATGACGACCTGAATTTCTACCTCGACATGATCGTTTTCCAAAGGACAAAACTTCCCAAGTTCTCGCAGGATGACTGTTGATCAACAACCGGTAAACAACCTCGGTCCGGTAACACATCGAAGTAATTGGAGTGGCTTCCGAGCAGACTCAATCCCAGGGATTGCAATAATGGTCCAAGTCGTAGCAGAACTTCACGTGAATGTCATCTGAAGAGGCATAAAGCCAACCCTCTTTGCACAACAGACGATCGTCCGTGGCCGGCCACCAGATGACTTTCCAAGCCAGAAGATCAATCCTTCTTTCTTTGAATGGCTTCCATACGCTGAGAAATGTCGACCTGTGGTTTTCTGACCATCCTGCAAGATCCGGGAACAAATCAGCAGGGATGCTCCAAACACCAGCTTCCATTTCCAGTTCGGCCAGCTCAGCCTCTGATCTTCTTTCCAGATATTCCTTCGTTCCAATGTCTATGTTGATCAGACGAATGCCGGGGAAATGTTTTTAGATCTCAATCTTCGCGGAGTTGGTTGGCGTAAAGAAGTTGTAATCGCCAACATAGACTTTGCACATGCGCTCGAGAAGTGGCTTGAGCTCTGCGCTAGGATGCTTGAGAGCATCCCACGCCCAGTCCTTGCAGATCTGGAACATATCTTTCTTCGGGTTGATGAAGACGAAGTTTGGGATGTTTAACCCATCTGGCGCCAGTCGATACATGAAGTAGAATTTGCCGAGGGCCATGGACCTTATCTTCCGACTGGTTTGGAGAAAGCTGCGTATACCAGAGAATCGGTGACGCTGTGTAGATTAAGGTCTTTGACAGATAGAAGGGCACCAGTCATGAGCATCTATCAAGTAGAACGAGACGCCGAGAGCTGTATCGTCGTCCCTATCTAGTCCGAAAGTGATTTCTGATGAATCAGTACTCTCAGCGTGGAGAACGTCATAATCCATAATGTTAAGGACAAGCTCGTAAGGCAGTTTTGCAGCTCCATCGAGTATAGGCAAAGTAGCTGCTGCCTCTGGTTCGATCTCTGCAGTGCTAAGCGCATAGACATTCTCATCGTTGGCGCTCATTTCGATGATGCCTGGTCACTGGCACGGTGACTGGTAATGGTCGTTGGCTTCTGGCGTTTGAAAAACTTGTCCTGGCATTGATGGTAGAAGTTAGTATTACACGAGAAGACAGACAAGGTATGCTCAGTTGTTCTCACGATGCTTGAGAGAGGGCCAAATCACCAGATATTTCGGCCACTGCCCTCGATCTGGTCAGGGAACCGGCGACCAAATATAAACCCAAGGTCTCGAGGCGATTTGATTGAGGACGAACTTGAGAGGGGAGAGAATAGCAGGAGGACATTTATCAGTTGATGTAGGTGGGTGAGATGTTTTCAAGAGCCCAAGGCGGCGGCACTACCGTGTTCTAAAGTAAGCCCAAGCTAGGTAGGTACTAACCTAAGGCAAGGTGGGAGAGGTATGAACAGCACCTTCCTCCCCAGTTTCCCTACCTATGCACCTCGGTCACATGACGGTTGAATCAGATAACAAATTCTCAGGAAGGCGTCAACTTGTCGGGTGGGAAGGCACGACCAACGCGGGTAGAAAATGGAAGGCACCAATGGTCTCAGTGAGAACAGGCAGGAACAACCCAGACACGCAGGAGCAAAAAGAGACAACTGGAAGGCACACCTTTGATGTAGAGGTAGGAGCGCTTCTGTTCTGAAGCAGATATCCGGAGATGATTTGTTCAAACGGACCTCTTTTGTCGGGTGGCAGGGCGGTGAACTACTCTGCAGCTTCACCTGCGGCCTACCTATAGACTGTCTCACTTGATCTCTCACTCACCACGGTATATGGAGAATGTCAATCTTTCTTCATCTCACAGTCTCCGCTACTTATACAAACGAACTTCTTCTTCTTACGTTGCTCACTTTTTCTAGGAGGAAAGATCGAGGCCCTTCCTCCCATCCACCCACAGGCCTATCGCCCGTTTGCTCCTATCAAAAGGTAGATCCAGCAAGAAACCGGTGAGACGACCATTCTATTTCCTCATCTCTGCTCTAGCTAATTCATATCTTGCCAGATTTTGTCAACTAGGCAGCGGATCTTCGTCGACAAACCGTCCCTCTCATACCCGTAATCATGCCTCACAGCAACAAGCACAAGAAGGGCCGTCAAGGCACGCGGGCTCCTCAGACCCAGTCCCCCAAGACCATCTCCTTGTCAAAGGGTCTCCAGCCTACTCCTCCTGGCAAGACCGGACCGGCTTCTCTACCCATGGACATTGTCCTGCTCATTATCGACGCCCTCATCAACGATGCCGCCTCCAAGGAGGTGTGCTTGAACTGGGGCATCGCATACAAGCAAGACACTGCCTCGAAGCTCGTCCTTACCGATATGAACATGAGCGATTCGGACCACGTCAAAGCCATGAAGCGACGATTCTCTCGCATCCGAATGGCCTCCCAGCTGAACCAAAAGTCCCGCGCCCTCGTCCATCAGACGTACCGCCGCCTTCCCAGAGCCAGAATGAGCCCGGCCGGAATGGCTGTCGGCTTTCAAATGACGGCATGGGTCCTTCCATCCATCGATGACTTCGTCGTGGCCTTTGTTTTCCTGGGCGGACATGTCGCGGTCCTCGAGCGTTACGCCGACTTCCTCGGCATGGCGCTCCACCTGCCTACTCCCGCGGGACTTCGGTTCATGGAATGCATCCAGAAGTTCAAAATCATGCTCCCCCAGGGCCTAGACAAGCATGTCCACGCTGCCATGGTGCTCCCCAACCTTAAGGAGCTTTACTTGGCCTTTGCGATGGTCCCCATGTTTGGCGCGCCCCGTCCCCGTTCCGTCAAGCACGCCGGCATCGTCCCTCTTCGCCGTACCGACTACGGAGACTTGGCTGACTGGATGATCATGCACAAGAAGAACGACAGTAATCTCTGCAACATCTTCAAGAAGAAGGGCACTAAGGTGTACGCTTGGGACTGCGAGATTCGGAAGGCGGTCTTTGAGATACTTCTCACCGAGAAAGATGTTCGCTTGCGCACCTTGAGTTCGCCCAATTGTCCTGCTGACTGCGAATGCCGTAAGATCGGCGAGTCTCAAGCTTCTGCGGCTTCTACTTGAAGTCGCCGCAGGAGTAACTCCGACGTCACAGATGGGGTACTCAAATTTGGTTGCGATTCAGACGGGTTAGCGTACACAGGTACTTTAGCTAGTAGGCAAAAGGATTTCATCCCCTTGTATTCAAAGAGCTGCGATAGGAGGCACGGGATGTTGTTTCAATGCGATGGTGGACATGGAGATAGCCCTCGCGGCTCTCCCTATCTGTTTAGATAATCCTCAACAATTCAAGCATCACACTGTCCGCCCTCTGAAGTAAGCTACTCATTTCTATTTCTTGCCCCGTGACAGAGTGCTATATAACTGCAGAGAACCCCCTCACGCTTCAGCAGCGGGAGCAGCGGGCGGAGCTGCAGGCGTCGCCGGCTGAGCTTCCGGAGCAGCAGCTGGAGGCTGGGCAGCCGGCTGTCCCTCGGCAGGCGGCGGCGTCGCTTGCTGCTGGCCGTTACCCTTTCCCTTGCCTTGTCTCTGAGCGCCGCCAGGGCTGATGTTGATACCTGATGTGACTATCGTCAGTAAAGGTCAAAAATAAAAGGTGAAACTGAGACGTCTTACCAGACTTGCCGCCGACGGATGTGCTGCCGTCGCTACCCTTTGTGATACCGAGATTGCCTCCGACTGGTGTCTACTGTTAGCCATCAAGAAAGATGTGGTGCCGTGTCGAGAGCTTACTGTTCTGAGCTTGGCCATCAGTACCGAGGGTGATGCCGGCATTGTCCTTGAACTGCTCAGATTCCTTCACTGCCTTCGGCTGTCCCTCAGCAGCTCCTTCGGCAGGCTTTGCTCCCTCCGCAGGCTTCGCCCCCTCAGCAGGTGCGGCTCCTCCAGCAGGTTTGGCTCCCTCGGCAGCATTCGCAGGCGGAGCCTCGCCAGCCGGCTTAGCCTCCCCGAGCCCGGCACCGGCACCCTTCCGTTGAGCTTCCTTCGCGGCTTCATTGGCCTTTGCAGCCTCACCAGGGTTCGCTCCGAGTCCCTGCTCAGCCTTGGCAGCTTCACCCGGGTTGGCTCCAGGACCGCCCTCGCCCTTTTGCTTTCCACCGCCGGCAGCAGCCCCAGCCCCAGCACCAGCACCAGCCTTTTGTCCCTCGCCACCAGCAGCTTTACCCGGCGCAGCGGCCCCCTCGCCAGCATTAGCAGTGCCGTTGTTCTTCTTCTTGCCGTTCGCCGCGTTCAGGAAAGCGTCCAACGCGCTGTTGCCGGTTCCTCCGTTGTTGCCCTTGCCTCCAGTGGTCCCGACGTTGCCGCCGCCGAGGTTGATGCCACCAATGGTCAGGCCGGCATTGTTGTTGGCAGTCCTGTTACCGGCGACATTGGTGCCGGGCTGACCCGCCGTGGCCTGGCCGTTGCTGTTGCCTTTGCCTTTGCCACCTAGTTGAAGACCTCCGGCGCCGCCAATGCTGATGCCGCCGTTTTCGAAGCTGATTTGTCTCTTTTCGACTGTGGGCTTCTCGACTTCTTGCCTTACGAGGACCGCGGCGCGGCCGGCGACGCTACCCTATGGGAATGAGCCGTATCAGAGACCGTAATGGAAGAATCGGAATGGTTACCAAGACATGATCTGATCTCTTGGTTGTACTGAAGTGCTTGGGAGGGATGGCTTACAGAGAACAACTTTGACTGCCCTTCTTGGCGATCACAGAGCCCAGTCTCGCCAAGCGCCAAGAGGGCGATGGCCACCATGGACGAGAAACGCATCTTTTATGAGACTAATCAAGGAAAGACAAGAAAGAGAAGTTTGATAAGTGTGAAGTTCGGGCTGCGCAGCAGCAAGGAATGTGATGAAATGAATTAAAAGAGTAAACCACGAAGCATCAAGCTTCAATTCTATTCAGACGGGAAAAGGCAAGAACAACAACAATCAAGAACCAAGTGACAGACGAGATGAAGTGATGAACAGTCTGGGGAAAAGAGGAAAAGAGGGAACCGGTCACTTACAGTCCCACACATCACCCAAAAGAGGAACGATAATAAGGGAACGACATATGGAATCGGATGTCGTCAGAAGTGCGTTTCCCCAGTGTCCGCAATACAAGAACATGCTTACTTTGGACTAGGCTAGCTAGTTCTACCGTCCCCGTGTTTGGCAGGGTGACGTGGACGTGAACCCGGCCCGTAGAACGTGGTATCGAGATTTGCCTTGAGCCGCATGAAGCTCTATTTACTAGTGCAACAGGGACTCGCCTTGGGTGCTCGGGCCCTACGAGAGGGGGATCTTTTTCCAAAACCTTCAACTTTAGGCGTGTTGTACGCCGATCCAACTTGCCGGGTATGGAGGAAACCCTGCAACCGCAGTGGGAAGACAGAAAAGTAGGCAAGATCCAGGGGAGAGATGCTATTAAAACGCACGTCAAGTTGGAGGACGTGGCTAGAACCGTCGCCAAACACTGAGCCAGGCCGGCACGGCATGGCTGGCGCGCATGAGGTGGGATCGGTTTTGAGTGACATCGGACGGCGCCGCAAGTGGTACCGTCTCCACCATCTCGGCACGGCTTGGCGTCACGGAGCTGCGGCAGCGCGGGCTATTATTGGCGTCGCCGGGGTTGCTTGTTGTTTCTGTTTTGCAACTCTCACAAGTTTCCGGACGTGCAGTCATGAGGCCTGAAAACACGTTTAGCGGGACCAAAATGTTCATGATTTTTTGATGGCATCTTTTTTTTTATGGTTGTCATGAGACATTTAGACATTAAGAAGTAAAGCGCATACACACAAAGAGAAAAGGAAGACGCGATAAACTTGATGTGGGATGAGTTGAGGGCTTCAAGGGGAGGAGGGTACTGAAGTGATGTCGAATATCGACCTTCACTTCGTAACCTCCGTTCCATTTTTTTTCTCTGCTGCCCAGAAAGTATTACACCAAACCACCAACGTCCAAGAAAGTTTTTTGCCTCAAAGGAGGCGACGCAAGCTGCAATAACCCCCGATTTTCCTGCCGGTTGTCCGTTTCCCGGTTTCGACCCCAAAATTCACGTCAAGGCCGTTTGTTAATTAGTCGTGGAGAGTCTTGTCAGTGTAAATTGTCATGTTAGGTCACACTAACACTTGCAAGCACCAGTCGGGGCCAGCTCCAAAGGCAGGTAGGTGGTACGGTAAATGGTAGTCACCTCCTCGTTGTGCTTAGCGCTGAAGGAGCCGGTCGGGTAGGGAGCGCCGGTGGCCTCGGGGTGGTGAGGGGGCTTGGTGAGAGTTACGGGGTGATGGTAGTCTGAGGCCCAGCCAATGGTGTCAGGACAAGTGCCATGGAAGACGGGGGCATCGGGAGTGGTGGCCGGGACGGCGGCGGTGGTCGTGATGAAGCTGCTCTGGGCCGCCGAGAAACCGCCCGTCGCCGTCGCGGTGGAGTTCTTGGAAAGGGTCTTGCTCACCGTGACAGTGACGGTGCTCGGCGGCGCGCAGGCGGAGGGCGAAGCCGGGGGCAGCGTGGTGGGATCGGTGCAGTCGGATCCGGTGACGGAGAACTTGGGCGTCTGCGCGTAGATCACGTAGACGTTGGTGCCGTTGATGGCGTTGCTGTTTGTTTGGATTTCGGGTCAGCCACATAACTCCCCCCTCACCCTGCACTTCAATCTTATTTGACCCCCTGTTCTCTTTCTTTCTGTTTTGGAGTGGTTCACTCCGCTTTTCATTTGAAATGACCGTTGCAGTGCATGACTCGTCAGATTCTTATCCCTGCCAACAACAGGCTAATTGGGGCACAGTTCAGGGGTAGAAATGGGAATTCGAGACCGCAAAGGGTCAAGAGTCAAGACAACTCGACAAAAGAGAAGGAAAAAGGTCGTAAGAGGCAGAGACAGAACGACGAACAAAAGAAAGAGAATGTCTCACAATTGGTAACCGTCAGAGTTGAGGGTGGAGCAGGGAACGTCGATGGAGGCAGAGCCGGCGGCGGTCTCGAGATCCTGGGCCAAGAGGACGTAGGAAGGAGGCCAGTTGACAAAGTTGACGAGGAAGACGCTGAAGGTCGACGGGTCCGTGTCGACCGTGTTCCACGACAGCTCGTAGCTCTTGCCCTTGGCGACGGTGGAGTTGGCCGAGGGGCTGGTGAACTCGATGGCGGAAACCAGAGGGGCCGCGAGGGCGAGGGCAACGGAGAAGTAACGCATTTTTGGTGGAGTTTTTTTCGGATCCGGATAGTATTAAAAGAGTGACTGGGATCGGTGAGGGAGCAAGAGGGAAAACCTGAGAGTCCGGTGGAAGTTTAGGGGGGGCATCGCGGCCATTATGTGCTCTTTGGGAGGTCGAGGATTCGGGAAATTGCCCATAGGCATCAGCTGCGTCCGCGCCGCAAAAGGGGTGGAGTCAACCCCGGATCCTCTCGGCCGTGAAATCTCCATCGAACGACGCGGAGCCAAGGGCCCAAGGCAAAAGGCAAGTTCGTATTATCGTCCACGGCGCGCCTCGGCGTTGGCAAGCCGCCTACATAGAGAGTCAGAGATTCTTACTCGCAAGGGGGCTGTCCGGTGCCAGTTGGGCGGTTCACGATGGCGGGCATGTCACTCAAGACAGGACCGTGGCACGGATGGTACTTCTTGGAGCGGTTAGAGTGGCCTCACGTAGCGTCAGCCTAAGCGAGAGCATTTAAGCAGTTTGCGGCACAGTTTAGCCCGGCTTTGCTGCTCGGCCTCTGGTGGCTGCTTGGTTCACCACTTTCTGGTGTGGTTTGTCTGTTGGTGTTTTGAGGGGAAAAGGGGGAATTGCTGGCCTAAAACGGACGGCTGACTGCTTCACAAGTTCATCTGTTCCCAGTCTATTGGGCGCCCGAGAAGTCGGCAGGGGCTTCGATTGGGCGTGTGCGGCGCTGCGCCAGGAACTCCTTTTTCTCACGACCAGTCCCTGTTCCTGAATGGTTCCTGACGGTTCCTGAATCCTACTCAATCTCAACCTTTAGGCGCCATCCCGCGATCCTCCAGGTAATTTTAGGTGTGTTCCTGCTTCCAATCGAGCCAACTTCCCAGTTCATGGCGGCCGACTTTTTACCAGCTCCTTTGCGGCGTGGTGCGCGTGGCGTCAACCTAATTCAACAAAGCAAACGATTCAGTCTGACTCTCACCGTGATGCACTTGCACCGATCCGGCCGTTGTCCATGTCAGGACTTGCGAAAGGTCGTCCGCGCCGCAATCTCAACATCCTCTACGACAGCGGTTCGCTGCTTGTTTCCTTTCTCCCCCGGTTCGATTAACCAAAGTCCCCGCAGGAGCCGCGGGATGGGAAATTGGAAAGACGTATGATGGATGAGCCTACGGGCGAAAGCAGCAGGAGATTCGTTTGCCACTGGACGTGGAGTCTTGCCAATGTCGTTCGGATCGACTTCGTGAAAGGTGAAACAGGATTTCAATGACTTATTAACAACAGCAGATGGGAAATAGGGATCCAGCGCATTTTCCTTCTGCTGGATCTCATTTCCTCTCCAAGAGCGGGTTCATCGAGAAAACGCGTCTCAGACTGGAACAAATGCGAGGTGGGCTTTCGGAGCCTGCGGGCCCACGATCCGCTATAAGAAAAGGAGGGGTTGCCTTTGTTCCGCCTTGGCGAATGAGGCAAATTTTGGGGCATGATGGGATTAACAAACAAGACATGCGCCGCACAATGTGTCAATTGCAGCATCAATCATGAGCGGCTCGCCGTTGTGTATACGATGGTGAGAGTCAGGTTGTGTCACCTACACACATCGACGGAGAAGTGCAGCGATTGTTGAGTCTGCGCGCCTCCATCACACTTATTCGCGTCGTAGCGAGATTCGACGAGGTCGAAAGAACCAACCACAGAGTGCTGAAGCGCCAAGATCCACGGTCATCAACGCCTAAATAGTCTAAGTGAACTCGTGGCTGACTGCAGGAGACAAGCACATGACCACTTCTCCCACCACGAACAAGCTTAAACTATTCTCGACAGCTAGAGGCCACCGTCTGCCAGACCATGCTGTTCCAACCAAGGGAAGTGGGAAACGCTCGTGCATCCTTTCTTCTTGCACCCAGTCATTCCGTCTGAAAAATTGGTCGGCACGGGTAAAGAAATGATCTCATCTGTTCAGCCGATGATGGGGAGCTTGGCTATCCTCATTGTCTGTTGACTCTGTTTGACCTCGGCCGGCGGGATGCGCATCAACTCCGACCCCCGACTCGTGAATACCATCACCGGCCTAGTATGTTGTGTATTTCAACGACATGCATATGTCTTCGTTCATACCTCTCAGATACATCCCGCAAGGGAGTTTGCTTTAAATTTCAATATGCGATGACCAATGCGAAAGAGTGTGCATGTATGAACGATGTGGTGGTGCAGGCCATACAAACTTCCTTCCATGCCATCCAAGTCCTCGTTGCACTACTCCAATCGGGCGGGAGCATTCCAAAATCAGTTGATTGGATAGCTACGATGATGGTCAACAAAATTAGATGACCAGGTTGGCAAAAGTGCAAAAGAATACTCCTCGACGGGGAATTGAACCCCGGTCCCCTGCGAATCGTTGAATCTACAATGACAAGCAGATATCCTCACCACTAGACTATCGGGGATTGGTGGATGTTGACATCCAGTGATAGTTGGTTGGGATGGAACGTCACTAGCAGCTATAAGTAGGATTCACGTGTCCGTGCGCAGAGCTCCCCTAGCCGGCCCCGTTCACGCTGTATCCTCAGCATCGTCCCCAGGAAGTTCAAACAACAAGCATACTATTTTCAAGCTGCAAAATACATCCA